TGGAGCTGGAAGCTGGATGGACATCAAGCAAAAAGGAAGGACCGTATTAGATTAATGGAAACGTTCTGTAACTGGATGGGATGACGACAGAACCCAACAAACAAAAGCTGAGCAAACAATAAGCAGTTTAAAGAGACTCCAGAATGGGAGACTTTATAATGTTACTTTAATGTTTAACGTTAATGAAGTGGTGCTTCAGGGAAGGAAGGGGAAAGGAAGACTGGCTGCCTCCACTTCCAGAATTACAAACTGGGAACCATGATACTAGCCCTCTAGCAAGAGGCTAGGATGAGATAGGTGTGCAAAAAGTGGGTGCCCATGAGGAAGCATAGCCTGAGGACACAGGGACTTCCTCTCCTATAGTGCAGGAAAGAGTCACAAAGGTTAGGAAACATTGGCACATTAGAGTCAAAAGAACTAGATAGTGTTGGACTGATATGTGCCTTAACCTGTAAAGACGTTTTTCGGCAGAGCCTGACAATCCCTGGGACCCACGGGATGGAAGGAGACTGACTCCTGAAAGCCATGCTCTGACCTTCACAAGTATGCTGTGTGGCACAGCCCGCACCTCCAACACACACTCATACACGAATAAATAAATAAATAAATAAATAAATGTAATAAAAGTTTTAAAAGATGCCCTCACATGCACAAATTCAGACTCACACAAACACATAATTAAAATAGAATTAAAAGATTAAAAAAAAAAACTTGAGCATGTAATTATGGGGGTGTTTTCAAAAGTGAGAGATGGCTCAGAGGTTAAGAGCACTGACTGCTCTTCCAGAGGTCCTGAGTTCAATTCCCAGCAACCACATGGTGGCTCACAACCATCCATTATGAGATCTGGTGTGCAGATATACATGGAAGCAGAATGTTGTATACATAATAAATAAAATCTTAAAAAAAAAAAAGTCACCGTCATGCTAGCGCGAAAAAACCAACACTGACAAACTATCAGCTACTTGTCCCATTTTCTCCGTCTTTTGTAAATGGGAAAGAGCTTTGCAGCCCTTTATTTAAGTAAATCCATGACGTCCAGTAAGTAACGGATGCCGAAAAAAAAATGTAGTGCTCTCAAAACCCAGATCAGGGAGGGTTTGGGTAGGTTCCCCTGGCTGAGTTCAGGATGCTCGCTTTGCAGCCGCAGTGCAGGATCAAATGCAGCAGTAGCTGGTGACTGCAGGGGGCGCCCAGACGCAAGGAGAGGTCCACCACGCCCGTGGCCACGCCCCTCACGTGACCTTGGCCTGGCGTCACACCCGGAAGCAGCCCTGCAGCGGAGCGGGCAGCAATGAGTGGGGAGCCGGGACAGGTGTCCGTAGTGCCCCCTCCCGGGGAGGTGGAAGCAGGCAGTGGAGTTCACATCGTGGTGGAGTACTGGTGAGCCGCTGGGGCTGGAGAGGAGCCCTGTGTTCTCCGGCAAGATGGGGGTGGGTCCACGGGAGGCCCCACCCCCGGAACCCCAGCTCACCCCACGTCTCTTCTCCCCAGTGAACCCTGTGGTTTCGAGGCGACCTACCTGGAGCTGGCGAGCGCCGTGAAGGAGGAGTATCCCGGCATCGAGATTGAGTCGCGACACGGGGGGACAGGTGAGGTCCGCGGAGCACCTGCTGAGTCAGTCTGTCATAAGCCCCAGCTCTCCTACCTTCTAGAGCGGACATTGACTGCTGAATATAAACCCCTAGCAGTGTCTGGCACACAGTGAAAATGCCTGGTGTGGGTTTGGAGTGATGGAGGGACACGCAGGTGAGTCCTCCCTAGGTTCTTGGGCTGCACGGCCTAAGGTTGTAAAAACCGGGAGACCGCGGACGGTCTTGCCTGCAGTCTCTGGAGTGCCAAGGACCTCCCTGGACTTCTGCCTGTTCTTGGCTCATTCTTGCGTTTATTTCATACCAGGGGCCTTTGAGATTGAGATCAATGGACAGCTGGTGTTCTCCAAGCTGGAGAATGGAGGTTTTCCTTACGAGAAAGATGTGAGTATTTGTAGCATTGGGAGGATGGCGGAGACACACCCTCCTCTCTATGCCTAACACTGCTCCCCCTCACCCCACCCCCCCAGCTCATCGAGGCCATCCGAAGAGCCAGCAATGGAGAACCTTTAGAGAAAATCACCAATAGCCGTCCTCCCTGTGTCATCCTGTGATAACACACGGTTCTTGGAAGCTTGGTTCTGGGGGTCAAACCTTTGTTTCCTTGTGGTTCCTCTAGGAACCCCCTCTGCCTTTTGCCCCTTATTTAGCTCCATGTAGCTAATACCCTGACCTCTACTTTGCCCCTTTGGGCACAAGGAGGACTTGACATATCTATGGTCTTGGAGTGAGAAAAGACGTTCTCTGTGGATATTTCCACTGCCACCTCACACACCTTTCCCTCTGCAGCTCCGTCCTCTCCCCAACTTGGCAATTCCTGTCAGATGCCACAGGTGCCATAACTTATTTTCCCCAACTCCTGGGCAATGTCAGCTACTGGCAATAAAGAGCTATCGGCGCCACAAATATTTGTGCCAACTGGTGTGTGTTTATGTCCAGCCTTTGGGGAGCACGGAGGACAGTCTGGCCCTGTCAACACCTACTGGGTTGGCCTTTTCTGGACAGATGCATCTCTCTAAGGCAAGGAAAATGAGTCACACAGACAGCCCCTTCCCCCCACTCCACTTTCCCACAGGAGGAAAGGACCTCATTCTGGGGGTGGCCTTGGAAAGAGTGTGTCCAATGGAGAATGAGCTCGTTGCCAAAGAGTCCTGAGAAAGGAATCCTAACTCCCCAATCTCCCAACCCAAAAGCAAACCACCTCAAATTTTTGGAAGCTCTTTACCCACTCACTCCAGGGCGAGCTGTATGTCAGGTAAGCAGGAAAGCCTAATCCAAAACCTCTCCCAGACATAGGTTGGGGCCTAACTATTCTACAGATCTCATTGCAAATGGAGAAAAGAGGGACACCACTCCCTAACTTCCATATAACAGCCGCTCTCCACTGTGTCCTTATTTCATCTTTTAAAAAACAAAAGTAAAAACAGAACAAAATACACTCTGTACAAGGATTGGTCTGGGTGCTAGTGCAGTGTCCCTTTCCTCTTGGGAGGCACATGTCTCAGTCCTAGTGGGTTTGTCCTGTTACCAGGGTTATTCCCTCGGGGCCTCTTCCCTTCTAGGCTGTTTCCCTCAGTCCTCAGAACCAAGAGAGCCAGGCCAGAAGAGGAGCCACCATGACTGTGATACCCCTGGACCCTGTCAGGGCAGGGTCTGTGATCCGCTGAGGCTGTCCAGTGTGCCACCTCTTCCAACCAGGTGGCCCCCCTCAACCACTCAGGATTCAAGCAGCAAGGAAGGTTCCGTAGGGTGAGCTCCTGGCACAGCAGGCTGTCCCGGAAGTAATGTGGCCAGAGGACCTCTCCTTTGCAATGGTGGAGACCAGGCCTCTCTCACTCTGAAGGCAGAACAGGGTCTCTGCAAATGTGGCCTCACACGGGTACATCCAAGCCCAAGTACTCAGGGTTCTCTGCCGTAGGGGTCCCTTCAAAGGTACTTGGTGGAGACCCCCGCTCCAATGGGTCCTGGTCCCAGTAATAGAGGTTGTCAAAGGCTGGGCAGAAGGCGGGAGAAGGGTGGGGCTGAGAGGCAGTGCCTCCTCTGGGTGCTAAGTACTCGGGGTTTTCCACAGCACCCCCAAAGGCAAAAGCGTCTTTGACAACCCCATTCTTCCCAGGAGAGAGAGTCTTGGGTCTTTCTAGAGTAGCACCAGAAGGCCGCACAGGAGGCAGAGGGCCCTCGGGGGCCAAGGGAGGCTGAGGCCGCACCTCTGGCTGGTTCACATATTCTGCAGGAGAGAAGAAGAACTGTTAGGGAAAGGAAACGGGATTTCCCTGCCCCACCATTACCTCTCAGTGGGTGTAGCCTGAGGGGTCTCAACTCCCCTCCTCCCAGTCTCTCAGGCCTGGATTCCATACCGGGCTGGGGGCTGCAGGCCAGGGGAGCAACGTAGCCGTCAGTCTCGGTGGGCAGGGGTAACGTGGGATCCTCGCTGTACCGCTGTAGAGGGCTGAGGTCATGTGGAGAGATGCTCTGCGGCCCTTTGCTAACCCCCATTCCCAGTTCACCATCAAACACATCGGAGCCAGCCCCTTCCGAGGGAGCCAGTGGAGACCTGGGGGGCTCTTCTTCTGAGGGCTCCAGGCCCAGTGTCAGCTCGCCTCCTCCACTCTGGAGTAAGAGAGGGTCATGATGGAAGTTACTCAAAGATCTGGGAGGGGACCTTGGGGGGGAAATGACAGGGTCCCAGGAGGAAAAACACAGGTCACCTTGGAATCATTATGGAGGCAATGGAGTCCCAAGGGTTGGAAGGCAGTAATGGTAATGGGATCTTAAGGAAGTGTGAATGTGGGGGAGCAGTCAAGGGAAGGGACCCTGGTGTTCTAAGATGGGCACTGACCCTGGTGGATGAGCTGCGGTGCCTCCGGTGGGCTGTGCTCCCGGTGCCTGGGGCAGGGTCTGGGCAGAAGAACCCCTGCTGGGGGACCAGATACTCTTCCGCATCCACCAGGTCCCCCATGTCCTCATCCTCCAGCAGTGAACGGTAAAAGGTACTGTCCAAGGGGCTGGACGGGCCCAAGTCCTCATTCTAGGGAGGAAGGAGACACAAAGTGACAGCCCTTCCCCAGCCTAGCGTTAGTTCCCAAGAAAGGTTCACCAAGCTTAGACTAAAGGTGGGGGCTGGCTGGGCTGGGGGACTTGGCATCCAGGTGTACCCTCCCTCTCCTGTCTGTAGGAGGGAGGACACTGTTAGGGTAGGGATGAGGTCAGAAGGCCCAGTACCTGGATGACCACAAAGCGCTGGGGGTCCCTCGCCATGCGGGAGAATTCTGACACCAACTCCCGGAATCTCGGGCGACATTCAGAATCTATCATCCAACCTACGGTGAGAGAGAGCTCAGCATCCTTGTCCCAGGACCAGGCTCAGGACCAGCTGTGCAGCCCCTTCCTGCTCCTCTTCAGTCTGGCCTAGACAACCCTGGCTGAGCCCAAAGTCCTCACATAGCAGAGGAGCACAAGTGGACCCTGGATCCTGAGCCAGAGCCCTGGAGCATTTTTCCTAGTTTCCCCTTTCAGCTGGCCTCTCTCCTCTAGACAGCCGTCGTCCCGAGCAGCTAGGACATCTACTGTGAATGGGATGAAGCACCTTTCGAGGTTCCTTCAAGGACACCCGAGGCCATTCACATCTCACTCCCGCCCCCCCCACACACAGGTCAGACCACCCTTCCGCTACACCTGAGGTTCGGCCCCTCCCACCACGCACATTTGACCATAATCATGTAGACATCGATAGTGCAGATTGGAGGCTGAGGCAAGCGTTCTCCCTTCTCCAGCAAGTCAGGTATCTCCCGGGCTGGGATCCCATCATAAGGTTTGGCCCCAAAAGTCATCAGCTCCCACACAGTCACACCTAGGACAGACAGGCATCAGGAGTTGGGGGAACAGGATCCTTAGATGCGCATACAAGGGGAGAGGCTGTGCCAAAAGGTAGCATCGGCCTGGTCGCTTCATACTCCAGGTGGGCACAGACCCCCACAGGCTGGACATCAGCCACCCCCCATCTCCACCCTCATTTCTGTACCCATATCCCACCCTGCCATGGCTTCTATCCAGCCCTCCCCATCACCATCTCCACACACCATAGCTCCACACGTCACTCTGATGGGTGAACCGCCGTCGAAGAATGGATTCCAATGCCATCCATTTGATGGGCACCTGGGAACACAGAGCAAAAAATCCTGAATGGGTGTGGTAGGGAGGTGACCCTTCTCAAAGCTCTCCCAATGGGCGGATACCACCCCACCCACCTCACCCCAACCCCCCCTCCTCCAACCTTGCCCCCATCTGCATGGTACTCTGTCTCATCAATGTCCAGCAGCCGTGCCAGCCCAAAGTCTGTAATCTTGACGTGGTTGGGACTCTTGACCAGCACATTCCGGGCAGCTAGGTCCCTGTGCACGAGCCGTACATCCTCCAGGTAGCTCATCCCCTGAAAAATGGGCATCAGTGTGGAACCTGAGTCTGTATCTCACCTTATCGGCATTCCCCATCCTTTTCTGGCCCCAAATGAGGGTAGGGACTTGCACCCAAAGGACCTGCAGAGTCAGAAGCCCCCAAGCACATACCTTGGCAATCTGAACACACCAGTTGAGCAGGTCCTGGGAGCCCAGGCGACCTCGATGTTCTCGGACATGGTCCAGAAGGCAGCCATAGGGCATGAGCTGTGTTACCAGCTGCACTGTGGATGTCAGGCAGATGCCCAGGAGGCGGGACACATACGGAGAACCCACACCAGCCATCACATATGCTTCCTGCAGGCAAGCATACACTGAGGGATACAGGAAACCACCTACTCCCTCCCACCCACCATACTCCCCTCCTGGAGACCCGCCCCCATCCCTGCAGGGCCTGCAGACCAGGAAGAGTAAGAATCAAGGTTTAGGACCTCCATCCCAAACCCTCATCAAGAGAAAGCAGCCCAGGTCTACAGCTAGGGGGCGTCTCACAAGTCCCAGTGGAGAAGGTGACCGGCTTACATCTAGGATTTCTTTGTTAGCTTTAGGGGATGTGTTTTCCCTCAACACCTTGATGGCCACGGGGATTTTCACATTCTCCCCATCTGGGATCCAGATGCCCTGAGCAGAAAGAAATGGGCTTGAATCAGGCCTGTGGTCCAGATCCTGCTGGTCCCCAAGAAGTCACTGATGAGCAGCCTTCCCCACCCTCCAGCCTGGTCCAGTCCTCTGTCTTGACCATGCTCCTCAGGCACAGCCCCTCCCCCAGATCCACTCATGCCAGAGCCTGGTCCCTCCTGACCTTGTAGACAGTGCCGAAAGCTCCGGACCCAAGCACCTTCACCTTCCTTAGCTCAGTCTCTTTTAGGATCCGCATCTGAGCCTGGTTGGGCATGGCTCCGCTGGGCGTCAGCGGCTCCACTAGCTGGAGTGAGAGGGTGGCGTGGTGAGTGCCAAGCAAGCTACAGATGGGGGGTGCGGCGCTAGGAGGCCCTCACGGCACCTCACCTCAGTTTCCTGCAGCAGCCTACGCATTGTATACTTTCGGATCTTCTGCCGTCTTCTCTTGATTAGGATTCCAACAACCACCCCTATGACCAGGAACAACAGGATACCCACCACGGTTGCGATGATGGACGTCGCTGGGCTGAAAGCAGAGCCCAGAATCAGAGATTAGGACTAGTCTCGGGAGGAAATTTGAAGAGACCCCATGAAGGGACAGGAATGTGCCTTGGCTCAAAAATATCATGGGAAGTCGGGCAAGGTGGCACATGCCTTTTATCCCAGCACTGGGACGCAGAGGCAGGCAGATCTCTGTGAGTTCAAGGCCAGCCTGGTCTACAGAGTGAGTTCCAGGACAGCCAAGACTACACAGAGAAACCTTATCTCGAAAAACAAAACAAAAAATTTCATGGGAGAAAATTCAACAGAGACTTCGTTAATCTGTACTGTGC